CCCAGTAAAACTGACTAGGAGTGGTACAGATTCGAAGCCTCGGCGAGGATCGCGACGTCGAATCGTGCGGAAACCGTGAAGTTTCGCGAGAACTCGCGCTTCGTGGACTAAGGGATGAAACGGCAAAGACCCTTACGGTAATATATCTTACGGTAATATATATATATATACATATATATATATATATATATATATATGTGTGTACAAGATCTCTTTCGCGGATCTCGCTGCTCCATGGGTTTAAAACTCGATTCGGGGATATAAAATCACGAGAGGTTGCGTAAGGATCCTTCACCGGCGAATAGACGCGAGGAACAGGGCGAGCATCCCCTATGCAGCTAGAAAGGGATCTGCGAAATGTACGAGGTTAAACGAGGAAGTTCGAGACCTCCGATTCATCCGCGAGCCTCGAGGTAACTCAAACGAAGCGTCTTCCGTGTCCCGGTTCAAATGAATTCTTCCTTAAACGGGACGAAGCTCGCGGTAGCGTTCTCCGAAAGTTATCGGGCCACGAAATCAGTGGCGCAACAAGACCGTAGGAAATCTCGTTTCCGCGGGATCCACGGGATTTAAATAAATTCTATCCGCGCGGGAGTTACGGTAGGGGCCAGAGTAAAATGCAAACTCGGTTCACTGTGAATTCTTTGTTTCAGTGAAAAAAAGAAAAGAAAAAAAAAAAAGGGAAGGGAAGGGAGAAAGAAGGAAAAAGAAAGGGAAAAAGATGAAACGAAGAGGGAAAAAGAAGGGAGCGAGGTAACGAGGGAAAAGAACGCGAGAGCGGGAGAAAATCAAGAGAAGGGGCAATTGTATTTCATCTACGAAGGGTCGACACCCCCTTCCGCTGTTTCATAAGCAACAATTTCGTTTTCGAGTCCGGCAAAAACCTTCGTTGCTCTCGAACAAAGCACACGGACAAAGCGAGTTGCACGCAAAGCGTCACACCAGCGGTCGAGCTTTCCTCCCGCTTTCCTCTCGCAACTCGCGCAAGACGCATCACGCGCGCTCGTGCGGACGGCGCGCGCGCCGCGCCGGTTAAACGCGGAGCGTAGAACGCACGGACGACGCGAGCCGACTACGAAATTCCGCGGTGCAATTTATGCTGATTTATATGCACCTGGCGGTCCGCTCGGTACAAAGCACACACGACCCATCCCGGCTCTGTGCTTCTATCTGCCTCTTTCCGTGTCTCTCGTTTCACCCGCGCCGGTTTCTATATTTCTTCTCTCGCCACGGTCGTCTATGCGCCGCGTGAAAGTTAACGTCGAGTTTCGAAAGCTTCCACATCGCGGTAATTCTCCCAAGGGACAGACAGAGGGATAATCCGTTTGTATAAACCTAATATTCGGGATACCGGAAATATCGTCGGTGTCGAATCCGCGGCGCGAGCATGGAGCTGGGCCTCACGTCGCGGCGCGAAAAGAAAAATCAATCCAGCCTAAAATTACGAGTACCTTGAATTCCGATAATTTCGGCAGTTTCGAGAGAAATGGTTGAAATTCGAGTGCCAATGAGTAATGCACGCTGTCGATTTTTCTGCCGAATAAAGTTAAAGTTCGCGTAAACGTTTCAGAGGTTAAGTAGAATTTGAATAGAATTTTGCAAATAAAATGGGAGTGACGTGATGATAAGTGGCAATTGCGGAATTAAATCGCAATTAAAAGTTTGGAGATAAATACCTGCAGCTAAATTGTACATGACTCGAGAGAAATAATTCCGACATTAATACGGACCATCGCTTAATATAATTTACAACTCGTTACATTATTCGAATCAATCGTATATGCGTATAAAATAAATTTACTTACTCTGCGACGCTCTCTCCGTTCCTCTGTTTGCAACTCTCGCCGCCGAGCCTGCGTCGTCATCTTCTTCGTATCACGACACACGCGCGAAGTTAAAAACTATCAACAAACACTGCTACGTATCCTGCTCGCTTAGAAAAACCTCGTTATAATAGCACTCGACTACCGAACCGGATATTACTGACACTGTATTGTTTATATATCGTCAACTTGAACTACGTCGTCAGCCGGTAACGCGGTGTTTACTATACCGGCGCGCCGTTTATATGCCCCGCAGCAATGTTCCTAACCTACGTCGCGTCACCCCGAACGCTTCTAGAATTATCCATTCGCCACAAATTCGCGACCCCACTGCCGACTACCGACGCGAATGCTAAACACCGTCGACTCGCCGAATTAAGACGCGTCCTGTCGATTCCCGATGCCCTTTCACCGACGCGCGCATCAAACATGGCCGCCGACTCGCCGAACCAAAGCGACGCGAGTCGATTCCCGATGCCTTTTCGCACTCGCACGAATCAAACATGCCCGAACACTTCACTCTTCGCGTCTTTTTCCGGCGCAGCAAAGAACGCGGTTTCTGATCGAAAATAAGCAACGTCGGATCAACTACGCGTTGAATTCGCCCCGCTGGGAACGGCAGGAACGCCACAGAGACGCGAGCCATTGTCGATGACGAACAAAGGTTGGAAAATCGGGGTTGCAGCGCGGTGGCGGTGTCGCGTTCGCATTGTTCGAGTCACAAATTAACGAAATAAAGCCACTCACCGAGTTACGCGATTATGAACTTCCTCCACGCCGAGTTTGTTACACGGTCGCGCGAATTCGAACGTAACTGCGAACTAACTCGAATACGCGAACGAGCTCGACGCGCGGGCAGAGGGCGCTGCCGACTGACTGCACGATTTCCGCCTTCCGGCCAGAGGGCGCGTGGGCGGGATTTTGACCGGTCGACTCGCACTGTCGCGAAGTTTATGATTGGTTATTAACGTCGCGCGCTCCTGGGGCTCGGTTTGAATTCGTTTAAGCGACGTCACGCGTTGTACGATGCTCGAAGAAGACTCAATAATTCCAGATGCGTTAACGGAACGCGATAAAACGGAGATACGAAGAATATAGATCAGGAGTCTTCCTCATTGGCTAAAATTTCGTCTGGGAAATTGGCAATACTACGCGAAGCTGCGATATCACTGCTCGCTTTTCTGAGCACCTGTATAAAATTCGGCTACCGATAAACGACGTCCAGTCTCGATCGTAAAATACGAATATCGTTACTCTGCTCGATCTCTTCGAGAATTTCGAATTCTATCATACGTATCGTCGCTTTACTCGATTTCTGTTTTAAATTCTCCTGGTTATTTCTGACAGCTAGTTGGAAGGAACGACGAGGCTATTGAAAATGAGAGATAACGCGAATAGGATATTGCAGAGTATAGAAAATGATCGAAGAGATATCTAGTATTAACCGATTGACTATGAAGGGCATATATACATGTACGTTGTCACAGATTCATCAATATATACGAAAAGCATACATATGCGTCGTCCATATTGTTCTCGATGAAACACGTTTACCATTTTATCCAATCGAACTATAGTTAAGCTCAAAAATGATCGTCCTGCGAGTCATGATCGAGGAATTAAACGATAAAATCTCTCAGTATCGAGTTAATTCCTATACCTCCCTATAGCACGATCCATCATAGTCGCGAGACCTACAGGCAACCGCACACAGCTTAATATCTTCTCTGTGAGGGAAGGACTTTACTATACCGAGGAGAACCGTGAAAATTCCACAACTTCCTCGCTACTGTTACCACGCGACATGCACCAGTCCCGCGGTAATTCAGCCAGGAAAAACAAGGCGAACTGTAACGAACTATCGAAGAAAATCGGAGTGCGGCGTTACGCGGAGGTCGGCGCAGGGTGTAGTGGGTGGAATGAGATTAAGAGGGACCCCGGGCGAGCACTTCCGGCGTCGCGGGGCATGAATTATTCGCAGTCGTCGCGCGCGCACAGATGCCAGCCGGCTGATAAGCGATAAAAGGGCAAAGCGGCGTTTTATCGGGAACGCAACTAATCCGGTTTACAAGGCGTTAACGACGAGCCGCGTCTCCCCTAATTATCCTTTTCAGCCCGAGCAGAAGCTCGAGCAACGCCGTCGGGCTGCGTGTCTCGAACAATTAAGACGTGACTCCTCTCGTCCTCTTCGTCCCGACGATGCTCGCGCTCCAGCCAACACGGAAACTCCACGGAATAATTTCGCAAGTTCCGACGTGTTATACACCTGACAAGCTGCACTCTTCCGCCCCTTTGGCCGTGGTAATAAATCAGCTTCCCTCCGCCTTGCGAACTTCTTTATCCAACGCGCTGCTTCCCTCTGCGCGTGATCCAGGCACCCCCTCGGCCTTTGTCAACCGCCTTCGACCTACCCTTCGACCAACCCCCGTCCCACAACCCCGGATACGTATTTACGTTGCGTTCGCGGCACCCAAGTTTCTTCAAAAACTGCGCCACTTCGCCAACTCGACCGGGGACGAGCACGTCCCCCCCCCCCCCCCCCCCCGTATTCTCGTCCTCGTCCTCGCGGTACACTCGCTGCTCGAGGCCAGATCTACACACCACCCTTCGATCTATCGATCCACCACTGGCAGCAGCCGTCACTGCGACACGGCTCGCACATGGCTCGAGTAATTTCTTTTCGAGATACTCACGGTAAATATGCTCTGCAACGAGATGGAAATGGAGAATTTGGGAGAGCCGAAGCTTCCGGGATCGAGAGAGACAGCCGGTGACATGGGTTGATAGTGGAGCATTCGTTCCGATCGATATCTTTCATATCGAATCGACCGAACACGCGCGTCTTTTAATTTCCGCGCGAACGAACAGTCGGCCACGTGATAAAGGTTAAAAGGTTGCGAGAATGGATATAAATTCCGCGGCGCGAATAAATTTCGCGCCCCTCGGGGGAATATAGATTATAAAGGGGAGCAAAATGGACGAGACGGGACGGGTTTCGGGCGATTTTTCGGCCCGCGCCGAAAACTGCATCGCCGTCCCCTGTCTGTACGCTTAACGAATTTCGTGCAAATTTTTTTCCACTATGTTTCCATTTATTTTGTATATGACAGCAGTACGATCTGCTTCGTCTCTTCGTGTAACGAGAGAAAAAAAGAAAAAAAAAAAGAAACGAAAAAATTAATACTTCCTCTTTGTCGTCATACTGCCTAATAATCGCTGTGTAATTACAACTTGACACGCTTTCGATATATGAAAAAAGAAAAAAAGAAATGAAATAAAGAGAGAAGATAAAACGAAACACACGCTGTTGTTTTCTTTCGCCATTTTAAGTCGCACACGTGTTGAACCAAGCGATCGCTCGTTCACGTATCTTTAAGATCTCTGCCCTTAAGTTACGCTGGCCGCAGCCTTAATCTTAAGTAACAACTTCAATATCTTTTACATACTAGAAGCTCTCCCTCTCTTTCTCTCCCTCACTCACTTCTATGCACTCTACTCATTCTTCCGTCTAGTGCTCGATCGTATTCTTACGTATGCATATATATATATATGTGTGTGTGAGTGTATGTATATATAGTAATAGTAATATTCTGAAAAGTTACATAATAAACCCTAAGCTCAATTTTGATTGGTATAATAAGTCTGAGATTTGTCCAACGAATCGAGCACCATGATCGCGATTCGAAAAAGAGAAAGGACACCTAGAACCGTGAGTTTCCTTGACGAAACGATCATCAAAACGACGCGTCGATTCTACTTTCTCGTTCTCTTTTCGACCAACTTGGCACGCGAGTAAGTACACGGTTAAAGGACAGCGGGTTTCCTCGATGGAACACGGGTATTCCGATCGCAAGCTGGATTCGCAGGCATCGGAATCGGCCGTTCCGATCGCGAAACGCTCGTTCCTGGCTCAAACACGTTCTACGTCGCTACGTTGTACTGTCGCTGTGATGACAAAACACTGTTACTTCGACCATCGGTGCAAAGCTTGATCGCAGGCCTTCGTTCGATCGCGTCTCGAGGTAAATTAAGTACTCTGCTTGGTTCACTGTACACGTGCGAACATGGACGCGAGGACGTATCGGAAATCCTACTCGCGAATGTTAATATTTCTCAAGAAAGTGGTATCTCGATCGAGTTACATCTTAAAGCGAGGATAACCTCAGACGAACAGAGAAAACGAGAAAGACGAGTTACTCGAAAAATTCTTTCACGCTTCGCGCCATGTGTCGTACGTGATCGTTCACAGTTGATGAGCCTCGAGGGCAGTCGGCGGAATCTTATCGCTAAGTATACCAAGTATGAAGGCACAAGTTCGGGAAAGTATCTGTCGCCAAGTTCGACCACGGAAATCCAACCACCGTATGAATGGGTCCTCGACGCACGGAAACGCCTAGTGAAATGCCTCTCCGCGTGAACGTTACGCTGCCCCATATTCGCAGAACTTTCCAAAAAATTCTCGTCGTGCATCCTTTTGATTCGACAAACCCGTGTGTCGATCCTAGCCGGTGTTTCGAAACCACGATCTTCCTGTTCGTCGTTGAAATCCAACCCCCGCCCCTTCTCTGTCCCCAGCTTCGAGCTCCTGTCGCGTTCTCTTAGTTGAGCAAGGAATACGCTATTGCTAAGGCACGAAAAGCGAAGGATTTCCATCAACATTCGCCTGGTAAACGCAACCGACACCTTATCCCGCGGATGAATTCGTTAAAGTCCAGTGGAATCCAATCGGGAGACGCGACGAGTGGCGAGAAATCTGGGTTTTGCGAGCGAGGGTTGACAGAGAAGAGGGGAAGGCGACTGCCTGTATCGAGAGTCACGTTCATACATTTTTCATGCGATTGGACGTAGCCCGGGATCGTAGAAGAAGAGGACATCGTCGAGACGCGTGCAACGTGTCGTTTTACGAAACACCTGTCGCCTTTAGCCGGTCTCGATCGACGCTGATCAACCCCGTGTGCCCACGTGGATGTCTCACTCGCGCTGTCTCTTTAATTCGATGCACGCGTCCTGCGCCACGTTCCTCGACTTCGATCATATTTGCATCCCCGTCTACCAGGGACGGTCCGACTAACGCATTCGCGGCTACCCCCGACGGCTAGTTTGGTATTCTCGACCAGCGACGAATGGTTCAAGGGATCGTTGATCGTGGCTACGTGCCATCCTACGGAGTCTTCGTTCGAATGCATCGAGGGTCGAGCGATTTTCCGCGATCTCGCGAGCATCGTAAAGGCCGTGGAAAAAGGAACGCGCAGTCGAAGAACTGGATATCGTTTCAGGGAGAACAGGCTAGTGTCCGTTAAGCAGGCAGCGTAGTCGAGAACGACGACGCGTTTTAACGTTCGCAAGCTAGGAGATCGTTACACGTATAACGCGCTGCAGATAGGAAGATCGATGGGGATCCAATGGCTCCACGCCATGCTGACGCTTGCTCGGTCCACGGGGCAGTTTCCGGTTCCGATGCACGGGTTCCTTGGTTCCTCCTTCCCGGTACAAGACGCGAGGATCGGCATGGGGAGGAGCGAGCGCCGTGAAAACGCGAGTGTTTCGACGTCTAAGGTACGAACGAAGAAAATATCGACGTGACAGCTAATAACAATATTCAAGTCCGCTACGGAGAATCCTCTTCCTGCAAGTCCCTCCACTCTGCACGGTGAAACCGATCCTAAGCGAGATGGAGGCACGCGAGGAGGTTGAATATACGCATAATTAAAACCGCGAGAAACTATGGTTGAAACGTAGTCTATGATAAGATTAGGGGTCGGCTGAGAAGACAAAGGGAGCATCTGTCGGTGTGAAAATATAACGAAAGCTCCGACACGCGTTTCCTCGGGCTTCCTATAGACGTGTCAGGTGAATCTCTCTGCTACTCTCGTCGGCGAGCCGGAGTTCATCCGTTCTTAACCGATTGCACCCGGGTGGCTGCTGGGTCGGGACGCCTCGACGGAAACCGGTGCGTTTCATCGTTCGGGCGTTGCAACCCCGTGGAGCGTCTATGGGACGCTGGTTCGACGTCGCCGTTCGACTCTACTCCATGGCGGCCTCCTGGAGAGCGTGCAGGTGAGCGTAGAGGCCATCAGCCGCGATTAAATCGTCGTGAGTGCCCATTTCCGCCACGGTACCCTTCTCCAGCACGCAGATCACGTCGGCGTTCCTTATAGTCGCCAAACGATGCGCTATGGTGATGCACGTCCTACCCTCCATGGCCTTGTCCAGGGCCGCTTGCACCACCTGTACAGAAATATCGTGGAATATCGACTCAGTCCTCGAGTTCTCGTTATCTCGCCGAGGCAACGATGAAATCGCGTTACAGCGAAATGAATTCCGAGATGACCATGTCCGATGGAACGTTCCGCGAAGCTCCGTTTGTACGTACAGTTTCTGAGGTTAGAACAGATGCGACGGATAAGGGAATATAAATAGACGAAACGTCGAGAGGAACGCGTGACGGTCACTCCCGTTGAACAAGCAACGCGCAAAATGGAACGCGACCGGTCTATTTTCCCGCGGAGGGTGGCACAACAAAGAGGAAAACAGGCTGGCCTGTAAGCAGCCGTGAAACAATAATTGCCGTGAAATTCGTTCGGCGGACGAGTCGCTTTGCGTCCACGGGAACAACAATCGAACATCCTCTCACCAGGCTGGGTATTTCCGATTGTTACCATAGATAATAATACTGTCGCGTTGTCCACGATTGTTACCGATTTCGAGAGGACCACAACGCGACCAGGCTGGAATAATCGACCTTCGTGGCTGGGAAAATTAAGCGTCGAATCGAAATAATCGCTCGAGAGGGCCTTTCGGCTTGCTCGGGTCGCTTTTCGCGAGATATCGGCAGAGAAAGATAAAACGATACGCGATAAAAGGATGGAATTCTATTTTTCACGAACCGCTGATGGAGGAAGAACGGTGGATGATATAATTTCGAGTAACGAGATACGATCCCCCGAAAACGACGTTTCGATCGTTGACGCAACCTGCAAATGTATGAATTTTAATTTCGAAAAATTAGCATACAAAGTACATCCGTTCCACGAGATATTTCCTTTGGTACTCGTGTTTTCTCCTCTTTTTCCCTTTTTTCTCCTTCTTTTTTCCTTTTTTTTTTTTTTTTGCCGTATTGTTCATTAAAATCCATCAGGATCCATTAATATTCATCAGCCGGCGCACTCGCAACACTACCGTTAGTTTACGTTGCCGAACCTCCGCTTTTATTCACGTTCACCGTTCACCGCAACAAAATATTTTCCCTCTAATGGTAGACGCTCGTTGCGCCCCGAAAACACACCCCTCGCATAAACGAGAAAATTTCGCGCGGGACCTTGTGTCGCGTAAACTACGTGTAAAATTTCAAAGGATTATTTGTGCACCGCGTGGCGATAAACCATGTACCAAGTATCTACCTTGCATTAATTTAACGCGATAATATTTGTACGACCCAGTTACTCGGTGACTGTGGAAGAACGTTCATCCCGAGCCCAAGACGACGCCCGCGGCGTCGAGTCGCTTGATCGTTTGATAGGATCGTTCGATAGAATTTGTCGAATCTGCTCGAGTTTCGTCGATCGTCCGCGAATTCCTCGCGAAACGTGTTAAATAATTATCAAGAGAAACGGTGCCCGAAGTTACGAGGCTGTTAATTGGTCACGAGGGTAAAACAATGCCGCGGCGAGAGTGGAACGCGAGGCTTTTGTCCTCGCGAGAATTCCTCGCACTTCCTCGGCCTCTCGAGAGGACGGTTGGTCATTTTTTCGCCGCCTTTCTGCTTCTATCCGCGACTAAAAAGCGCCACCGCGTTCCACCGCGTATTATATTACTGAATGCCCGCCGCGTCTACTTCAGCCTGATTTCACGACCCATTTTCCCGCTCGCCCGCGGTGTTTCACGCGACCATCTCGACGGAGCTTTTTGTCCCCGGGTATTTTTCGTCTAAGCGATTCGCGAGGATACCTCTCGAAAGACGAGGAAACACGCAAGACGATTGTCGAGAGTGCCTTGGGAACCACGAGTCCTTACCTTCTCGCTCTGAGTATCGAGAGCAGACGTTGCCTCGTCTAGCAACAGGATTCGAGGATTCCTGACCAGAGCGCGAGCTATGGCGATACGCTGCTTCTGTCCTCCGGACAGCTGTGTACCCTTAGAGCCTAACCTAGTATCGTAACCCTGGAATGAAAATCAGAAGTCTGTCTAGTGGGAAATTTCGGTTAGCTGTGTCATCGTCGGATGTCTACCGAGGGTTGTTCTACTCACTAGCGGTAGAGAGCTGACGAAGCTGTGGATGTTTGACTTCTTGGCGGCCTCTATGATCTCCTCCATCGCCACTGATCTAAAGTTGTCGCCGTAAGCGATATTCTCGGCGATCGTCCTGTCGAACAGGACCGGTTCCTGGCCGACCACGCCGAGCTGAGACCTCAAATTACGCAACGATACCGACGAGATGTCACGCCTGTCCATCGTGACGGAGCCGGAAATCGGGTCGTAGAGTCGTTGCAATAATTGGATGCAGGTGGACTTGCCGCATCCACTCTGGCCCACCAATGCGACCATCTGTCCTGGCTTCACGATTAGATTCAAGCCCTGTAGAATGTGCATCTCTGGCCTGGTCGGATAGTGGAACTCGACTTTCGAGAATTGAATCAAACCGTCCGCTTTCTGAAATTATCATTTTAAACGTCACGATATTAATTCGTTGTCGGTCCAACTCGTACTAGGCTCGAGCAAGAGGGAATTAATTCGACCGAACTCGTTATAGGTATTTGCTCGCGAAACGAGTTATACGTGACTGGCGTTTGAACAGCATAAGTTGGGAACGTCGTTTATTCGTATCGCTTCATTAAACGGTTTGGGATTCTGCAGGGATAGTCACGGCCTCGATCAAATAGAGCTATGCGTTTTGAACGTAATTAACGCGTCTAGCCTGAGGCGGCGCTGTCAGTATGTCATAAATTCCAAGCTTTGCTAAACAGACGTAATGAAACGACGAAATGGAGCGCCTGACCACCTCCGAAAACCACCTTCCCGTACTTTACACGCGATACGGTATTTCGCTGATAAACCGGGTGCTAATTAGATTAAACTTCGACTGGCCTGACGATAAGGATAACCGATAATTCGACTGCCAGCGATAACGCGAGACTAGCTCGAGATAAGGACGGGTTTCTAATTATAATTTTCTGCCGAGGTTACACGATCGGCAGCGTAGATCGACCCTTATAGACCGGGCACTCACCCAATCTAGATCTTTATCTTCCGAATCCGGTGGCGAGGTAATCTCAGGGACCCTGTCCAAGAGTTTGAATATCCTTCCGGCGGAAATCTTGGCCGTGTTGAAATTGGGAGCAAAGGCCAGAGCCTGTCCCAACATCCAGGAGCCGAAGATCAACGCCTCCGACACTTTGATCACGTCCTGATAGCTCAAGCCTTCCGTGGCCACCAAAGCGCCACCGTAATAAAGACTCAAGGCATAACCGAAGAATGGCGTGGTCTGGCCACACGAGAATACCAGTCCTCTCAGTCTGTTCCTGATTCTCGTTGCTTCAGCCACGTGATCCAGCTCCACGCAATAACGCTGCAGGAAAGCTTCCTCTTTCCCAAGACTGGCTACCGTGCGAATATTCGAGATCGCCTCTATGGCGATTCTCGTTGCCGTCTCCATCTTCTTCTTCTCTTGCAGACCCTGACCGCTCATAACCCTGGCCTCGAAGAACACCGCGCCTAACACCAGAGGTATCGAGACGACGGAAACCAGCGTCATCTTCCAAGTATAATACATGGATAATCCAATTCCGAGGACCAAGGTCGACAGAGCCTGGAGAATGGCTCCAACGCGTGTCCCGGTTGCACCCTGAACAGCACCGGCGTCGGAGGACAGCCTGGCGCAAAGGGCACCCACGCTATTCGTGTCCTCGTCGTACCAGCCCATTTCCTGTCGCAGCATCGCGGCGAATGCCATCCTTCTGATCCTGGTGGTCATTCGCACGCCAGCCAAGCCGAACATGTACATTTGCAGGAAAGTGCCTACGCCAGTGACCACTCCTACTATTAGAAAGAGAATGGAGAAGTTCACCGTCTCGCGACGTACTTCCTCGTCGTCTTGAAGACCCAAAACGTAGTAAACTTCACCAAAGAGGACCGCGAATGCCGGGAACGAGGCACCCACCATGGCCGCTGCCAGGCATCCTGAAAATGGGAATTTCTTTGCTCGATAAACTCGTCGGAATTAGAGGAATCGCAGAATGCTGGAGGACTTTATCGGAAGATGAAGAGACGGATGATTTTATTCGTCGATAAGATGAACGGAGGAATGGCTTGAGGAATGGTAAACGAGGCAATTATACCGATCAAATTGAAAGGCCATTCCGGTTTATTGAGTCCGAATATCCTCATCATCGGTGCATCGTACGGCTTCTCATGTTCTTCCAGTTGGTTCGCCGAGCTTTCGGATGCGCCAGCCAACGACAGCCGATGAGAGTGCATCGACAAAGTGGAGAATTGCCTCTTCAACGGTGGCTTCTGCTTCGGTATGGTTGCGGTGATCGTCTTTGCGGCTGACGCCGTCGCTTTCGCTGGAAATTCGATCGACGTGCACTCGTAATATCATGCCGTTTGATGTCGGGGGTAAGAAAAATATTGAATTTCTTTTATTTCGAACAACTGCGGTGCCTCTATTGCTCTTTATATCGTAAAATATGCATAAACAAGCTTCTCCCCTTTTCTCGAACTCGCCCGGATGGTTAAAGAATAGTACTTAAATTCCAATCGAATCCCGATATCTTGGCAACGAGAGAACCACCGTTTCCTTTCGAAGAATTTAATTTCTATCTCGAAAATAACGAAAGACAATGAAATAGAGCAACAGCGAGCCAAGACAGTTACCTCTGGCGGTGGCGCTAGCATCGGCAGAGACCAATCCATAGTAATGCTTTCCAAGGGCGAGCAGTTCCTCGTGTGTACCCTGTTCAACCACCTGACCGTCCTTTATAAACACTATTCTATCGGCATTCGTGATAGTCGAAAGCCTGTGAGTGACAACGATCGTCGTTCTACCCTTCGAGGCAGCGTCCAAAGCTCTCTGCACGGTGGCTTCGCTATGTAGATCCAGGGCAGACGTGGCTTCGTCCAACAAAAGTATGGCAGGTCGTCTGACCAAGGCTCGAGCAATCGCGATTCTCTGCTTCTGTCCACCGGACATTTGCGATCCTCTTTCTCCCACGGGGCTATCGTAAGCCTGAAACAGAGACTCTTAATGAAACCACTCGTTCGTTGCTCACTGATGGACGAAAGTTGACAGACCTGACAGCGGTTCTCAACCTTCTCAACTTAAAAATTATGTACTATTTACTGGGAACATCTAACGTATCAAAGGCTGAGAGAATCGCGGTGCCACGAGATTCGTCCACAATTTCAAGATTTTCCTTGATTCCATGTAAACGCGAACACGTTCGATTAAGGACAACAATGGTTAATGGAAATTCAAGGAGAATGATTTTGGTGTCGGTCACGTTCGTTGATAATTATCAAGGGAACAGTGTCCGCGAGCCATTTGCCTGTTCGATTACCGTACTCGTGGAAGAGGCCGCGCCACCAACGTGGTCTGTGCGGTTTGAAACAACGATTATTTAATTAACGGAAGTACGACATGACGCGTCTATGGCGCATATGCGCCGCGCTGAGATTTAATAAATTTACGAGGCACAGCACTTTGCGTACCGGCCGCAACGCGTTTTAACGATCGTCCCTATTCCTCATGCTCCGCAATAAAATCTTAGATTAGACGCCGTAAACCGCTCTCTGCGGTACTCTTTCGTCAGTCTTTTCCCGTCAGACTACCCCGTCACGGTTCCACGTTCAATTACGCAAATGCATTTCATCCTGCGACTAAACCGTTCCGTTCAAACATGTCCAAATACGTGCACATACGTCGAAATGCATATACACGCGAACACGCGCACGCACGCACGCATAATCCACGTCGTTCGTTCATCAGCACGTGTACATAGAGGAAAGGATGACCGACCTACCCGGATAAAGCTTGACGATCGCGATGTGGCGTATCGATCCGCAGAATAAACTGCATGGGATTCTCCATAAACTGGAAAATGGCTGGTCCACTTGTTCCCGTGGGTCGTTACGGTTCTAAACGCGTCGCGAGACACAACGGATAAAGGGCAAACACAGCCGAGCTCGTGCGGAGACAGACGGTGTACACCAGCAGGACAACCGCGGATGAAACCATCGCGAGCATCGAATTCACCTACCGATAATTCGCTAATAAACGCCTAATCGTTGACGCAGCCGTAATCTGGGATACTGTTATTTGGTCCAGCACGGTTTAGCGGGTGTTTTATCGTCTGTTTGCACGCGTGTTGCGCGACTCGTCGCTCACACCTGAGACTATGGTTACCGCTACCATGGTTAACGCAACGAGAGCTGGATCTCTGACGGCCAACGCGGCGTTACGCAACGTTACGCGCCACTAAATTTACCATTTCGACATAACCAGAATACACGTGTCCTCTCGTTTTCCACGCTCGGGATTGCCGAGCGTGACGATCGACGAAACGCGACGAGACGAGACGAGACGACAACGTCGAAATCAGCGCATGGATCAACGTCACGAGGACGGGATTAAAATTCCAAGGGAATTCACGGTCCCCGGGCAGGATTTTAATTAGACCACCCTTTGTGCCGGATATGGGTGTCGGGGCTCTAGGATCCCCGAGGATGAAAAGAGACGATGGAGCCAAGAGGACGGGAATCTTCCGACGGATCTGCATTACGCGGACGTAGGTTACAGCTGGAGGTTCGGTCTGGTCGTTGAAAAGTGACCGAATCAATCGGGCTCCGTCTGTCACGAGCTGCAAGGGAAACTGAAATTCCGCTCAGCCGGAGAAAACGGTGACGGAATGGGAGAATAGGTTCGAAGCCACTCACCTCGGGCAGTTTGCTGATGAAGTCGTGAGCGTTCGCTTCCTTCGCGGCTTTGATCATCTCTTCCTCGGTAATGCTGTCATTTCCGTACCGGATATTCTCTCGTATCGTCGTGTCAAAGAGCACCGGCTCCTGGCCGACCACACCTATGTGCGAACGGAGCCATTGCACGTTCAGCTTCGAGATATCCACGCCGTCCAGCATCACCTGTGCCAACAAAGAGGTTATCGTGATCGTCGCGGGGATCGGTCTTCCTCGTTGATCGATGATCGAGCAGAAAGATCGCTGACACGCCGATGACAAGGGTAAGACCCACGGATATAACGCTGAATAGATAGGTTGTATTAATAAGAACGTCGAACGAGGTGGTTGTCGACGGTTCGGTCGAACGGATGAATTTTAGGCGCGGCCATTTTATGGACAACGGTGCAACAGCGGCGCGGAGGAACGCAAATGGGGAAATGACGCGGGGAATGGGGGAAAGTAGTTCAAGAGCCGGCAGGAAATCAGTATGCCAAATATACGGCGTAATATTTTCGGCGGGAGAAACTACGACGGATGCAGAAACGCGAGAATCGTAAAACTTTTACTACTGAGAAAACTCCAGCCGCCACTGTGTTCCGCCGCGAGAAACGCTTCAAACTTGTTCCGTAAAATTCCCATCGTCGCTTCCGAGTACAGATGTAATAATGGAATATTCACGGCCGGGATATTGTTAACCCCGGGCGCAATAAATAAATTCACCCTCGCGGACCGCGCCGGTTGCCCAGAAATTTAATCGAGCCCGAATTCGAGCAATGAGAAACGGGCTGTATTTTATTCCCCGCGTCTCGTAAAATATTCCCCGGGATAAAAATCGCGATCGTGCTTATCGGGACCGGAGGAACGGTCTTGAAGAATGGCTGGGAGAGAAGGACGATAATGTCGTCTTGCCAACGACGCCCTCGAAAGCCGTAATGGCGCGTGCAGCGAACGCTTCGCCCGACACGCCGTTGCAATTTCGACGAAAACAAAAACCTCGGCCGGATATTCATGAGCCGGTGCTTGGTTATTAACCGTGCTCGTTGCGCAACGTCTGCACAAAAATATCGCGAGTACTTGCGTTTTAATAAATTATCCTCTTCCCCTTGGTAAATAAGCGAGTCGAAACGGCGGATGTGCGATCTCTCCGGGGATGGAAAATTCGGGATACCGTTAAGGACTAACGCGACGCTCTCGAAAACATCCATTGTTCAGCACGAACGATAAATACGGGAATTTCTCACGTCGCATAATCGCTTATAATTAGCAGAACGGCTGCGGCGCCGTCTCGTTACGGTTTTCTAAATTAACGAGTTGAAACTGTACACCCGGTATTACTACATGCGCCAGCGGTGTGTATTTCGACGCCACTGCGATAGCATTTTTTGATAATAAATCCGAAAGTGCGGCGTGTAATTAGCGTACCATTGGTCGACCTTTCTGCAAGATCAAACAGAGGATGAATTTCTGCTTTTCGGTGTTTCTTACGTAAACACGACTTATCTGCCTCGCTTACCTGTCCCTTGGCGGGATCGTAGAGACGTTGGATGAGTTGCAAACAGGTAGATTTCCCGCAGCCGGATCCACCGACGAGCGCCACTGTCTCGCCCCGATTTATAGTCAGATTCAAGCCCTGCAACACCTTCACGTCCTTCCTAGCGGGATACTGGAAATGTACGTTCTTGAACTCGATCTCGCCGTTGACGGATGGCAGCTTCTGGCCGTCCTTGCTCAGACTGTCGATCGAAGGCACGCGATCGAGCACTTGGAAAATCGCTGCGGCCGAACCACGAGCCACCGCGAACGCCTCGAGATGAGGCGAGGTTAGACCCATGTTCTGGGCACCGGCCAGCACGCCGAAGAACACGATCACCAGCACGGCTGGCGTGTACTCCTTCACCTCCTTGGGTCTGTCCTCTAGGATCAGCTGGACACCGTACCTGAGAAACAAGGAGCATCAGTGTCAGAGACCGTGGACGGAGTCGTTGATCCTTACTCCACTTGGAAAATTCGATCGAACTACTTTGGGAATGCTTTCCCTTTGACAGTGAAATATCACACGGGATGTACACTCCGGGAACGAGGAAATACCCAAAGGGAAGATCGTTCCATATCGAATTAGAGTATACGAGACAGGCACTTTTCGTGGCAAACAAAGGAACGCCCCCGTGTGATGTTTCCCTTTTAAAGCAAACAACTTTTACTCGAAACACCCGTGACACAATGCGGGAATTACTCGGCTGACCCGTTTTCGTGCCACTCGTGGCTGTTTGCTCGCGTGAAAGGCGTTTGCTCTGGAAATACTCGTGTCCCTTCCATCTAGACGCTAGACTCGTAGGACAACGTATCCACGAAAAGTGTTCAAATATTTTCGCGCAACCCGATATAGACGTACCAAAACGCGACGGCGTAGCTGATGTATATGATGAACCACATCACGCCACCACCCACGCCGGACCACATTCCACGTCTGATCCCTGTCTTTTCAGCCGGCACCAGCTTCTCCGCGTATCTGTCCACCTCCTTTTGCTCGCCGTTGAAGGCGATCACGGTCCTGATGGCGGCTAATACTTCCTCGGCGACGTTTCCGGCCTGGCCGTAAGCGTTCAACTCCTGAGCCGTTAAGGAGCTCTGAACTTTCGCTACCACGGCAGTGGCTATCACGATGATTGGCGCGCAGCTTAGCACCACCAGCGTTAATTTCCATCCATATACGAACGATATGATGATGGAGGAGATGAAGGACACCATCAGGTACGTGAATACGCCGAGCTTCTCTCCTATGCCGTCTTTCATCTTGTCCAAGTCCCTGGAACATCGCGGCAACTTTTAGCATTGTGCGCGTCGCAAGATCGGTAAATGTTTGACGAGCGTTCGAGCCGCGAATAAATTCGCGGAAAATTCGCGGAAAATTCGACGTCGCTTTTGCCAGACTTCTCGACGTTGTACAAGGTGACTCGCGCAATTAGAAACGATCGTATAGCGGGCCACAGGTTCTATCGAAAGTAGTTGCCGACGAAAATAACACGGGGCCGCGGGCAGCCATTCAGCGCATTAATTAAACTTTGCCTTATCTTCTACAGAGCAAAGGTCACCTTGAGGGTGTTCGAGGTGTCTCGCGTTAGAAATTACATTTATCTTCGCGTTCGTCCAACGCGGAGTCGTTATCTGAAACTCTTACGTTCTTGCGACGCAATCGGGTCAACGAAGACCAGCTGTCAAATGACGGTCATATTCTAAAATTGGAATCCGTTGCGGCACGATGTAACGACTGTGTTTTTCTCGCCTGTAACGACACTTGGTACGGTAATGACGAAGCAAACGACACGGTTGCGAGTCATCGACTTTGTACCATTCATCGTTCCTCGCCATTATTCCGGGACATTTGCGAATACAGGTTCTGGCGCCAAGTTTGGACATTTCCGGGAGATTACGCGGCATTTGGGGTACAATAACACGTCCTCGCGGTTGTCGCGTAATCGCATTGAACTAAAATCAATATTGCCTCGGCTCGTGCGAGTTTTATTATGATTCCGTCTTACGGCCGTACATGGTAAAGCAACAGCGTTCTTTGGCTGATAAAAAGCGATGTTTGACTAAAGGTTACGACTCGAGGAGCGCCGTCGCGATTTCGGGAACGTCGCGTTCGCGTGACAGAGATGTCGAGAGAAACGGGTGACAGCGAGATGACGCAACTTTGAAGTTGTACAATGTGATACGCGATAAATAAGATCCCTTGGATCACGCCGATCGCTGTCACGCGTTAATTCCCCTGTCCCGAAGGAGATTCGGAAAACTTCACCGCGGCTCGCAACCGAGCGCAAATAAAATTTACGTAATTGTCATTATAAATACGGCGAGACGAGCCAAAGCGATCCTAATGCCAGTCGATGCGAGTCGATATAAACGCATCGCGACGCTATATTTGCGACACAGTCCACGGTGACGTGAGTCACACTGCTTCCGACCGTCTGCTGCAACCCGGAAACGCGAACTGGCGACGAGGGAAAAAATTCGAACGAGGTGCAACGTGGAATATTTTCCATCGAAATGCCTGCTGTCGCAATCGGGCGGCTTGCGCCACGGATACATTGTCAGTCGAAGATTCTCGTCTCGAAATAAATATATTGCGCAAAACAGCTCTCGTCGCGACTGCCTAATTGGCCCGTTATGAATCCATCCTTGACTTTTCGATAATTACACGGCCTGAACGCGACCGCGAAACAGAGGGGAAGAGAGAGGAAGACATTGTATCGAGCAAGGATTTCGAGTTTCGCGAGCGGCCACCTGTTGATGAGCAGATCTCGTTTCCTGAACTTTGCTCCTCGCTTCTCCGCTATGCACGCTCCACGCCGCGTTTACATCCGCAGTCTCCGTGAGATCGAAGCCACGATATTCCTCTTGAAGCCGGATCACCGTAAGAAAATACGGCTACTTAAGCGTATACGTCTCCGGGATATCGCCTCGACGAGAAGAGAGACTCCTCTTGCGCACACAGCTTTCGCAGACGTTCGTACAGGGTAAAACTGGTTTGCATTCATAATTCGGGTCGGAATTGATTCCGAGATCGAAAAGCACGTCTGGCTGTTACCTGCATCGTCTCGGGATTCAATCTCCGAGGTATCTAACGGTATCTTTAACCGGTCGTTGGCTGTCAGCCAAAGATACTCACTCGGTGATCCTACTGGCGAAGTTGGTCGACGTGTTTATGTCGTACCAGGTCATGTCCTGCCTGAGGACAGCGCGCAGGAACATTTTGCGTACCCGGACGATCTGTCTAGAGGCGGCGATATTTAGCAGATCGACCGTGAACACGGCAAAGACAAACTGCAGCGTGGATAACGCCGCGGAGGATACTCCGAACGCAACCGAGTCGTCGTACAGCGCATCCATCCTCTCCTCGTAGGGCACGTCCGGTCCTCTGCAACGAGAACACAAGCGAATTACCATACATCGTTCCGTGCTGTGCGTCGATGCCTCGCGAGCAGCGCGATTTCGCTGAAGAAAATCGGCGACGAGGATTGCGAAATGTCACGCAGAACCAAAGTAAACCAGACAGAACTATATTCCCTCCGGGTGATCTATTTTCTCGTTAATGTAACGCGTCAGAGAAAGACGCAAACGGAGCTCTCGCGGCTCGGTTTCGTGCTAAAAATACGAAATTTCGGTAGTAGGCGTGTCTGGGTACGCCAAGACTTACAAGACCTTTCCTCCTCCGAACCACTTCATTATGAGCGTCGGTGTACTAGTCTGATTCTCCATGTTGCGATCCACCAGCAACGTGGTGAATTCACCGTACTGAATCGTCGAGATGGGGATGCAGAGGCCTGTCAGTGTTCCCATGATCAGGCCACCGAAGACCAGCATCAGCTCCCCGCATGTTGCAAATCGAAACTGCGAACAGGGAGAACGGGAACGGTTCAACGTGGTGATTTAGCGAGCTTTTCGCGCCCCGATTAAACCGAAATCCCAAGTTTCGAAGCGAGAAGACTATAGCAGAGCTAGAGTAGAGAGGGGAGAAAAGGGGAAAGTAGGTACCAACAGCCATGGCCGCGGACGTATTTTAATTAATTGCACGCGAGCATCGACGTTATGTTAATTTTCCGAACGATGGGTTCACCGGGAATTCGCGAGATTCCGTGGCGTGGACGGAGCAATTTGTCGCGGAACTAGTCGAAAATTTCAGAAACATATTCTCGGGTGATTTAGTGCCGGCAACTTCTGCCTTTCCGAGAGATTTAACCCGGGGAAAATTAATGCTGGCCTAACGGTGATTAATGGCCGCAGATCTGACTAGTTCTAAACAAAAACAAGCCCGATCGATCGACAGGATCGCGGTCGTTAGGTTTGTCAAGGACAAAGGGAGTCGATGGCCCGGCTGTGCTGCTCCCCCGAAGATGGATTTCGTCGTTTGAATCGGAACTGCTCTGGCGATATTTCAACGGCGCCGGGACGTGCGCAGAATGTTTGGCAAATGTTGCACACATTTTTCCATTAACTCCTTCCGTCCCCCTTTTCCTTTTATTTCCCCCATCCTTCGATTTCACCGGTTCACCGATGTACTTACGAGTTTGAAGTAAGGCACTGGCGGCAGGATCTGATCCGGCGTAGCCGGCTTGTCCTCCTCCTTCGTTTGTGGCGGTACGAATTCACTGTGGACACAAAAGGGCATAGAATTTTAATAAAAGCTCGTCCAACTGCTCGTCGACCGTTTCGCGCGTTATTCTTTCCTTTGCTGCACGTAGCAGAACAGAAAAGAACCATCGAATATGCATCGCGGAGTACTTCTGAACGAAACAATTCAACGGAGATCCGTTCGTTAAGAATAATATATTTCCCAGTCTCGATAAGAAACGTGGAAAGTTGAAAATTTTAAACGCGTTATCCGGTAGTACTCTCGCGAGGTATACTCGCAACAATTAAGAAATCGTTATGTATAAATTTATACGATTCTTCCGCAGTCTCGAGGACGAGCAGGATTTCTCCTAATCGTTTCCACAATTCTCTACGCTCATTTCTGTATCCCGGAATTCTCTCACGCTACGTTTCTTTCATATTTTATTTATTTTAACAACAACGTCATTCATCTGTAAGAATCTTATTCGTACATTGGTTTGCCATTCTCTTGAAGCATGTACTCAGTTTCCTCTTTATCCTTCTCCGCGTCTTGGAGCGTGTCTGAAATGAAATATACAAGGTACCGTACACAGAAGATCCTGCAACAATATTTTCATACGCGTCGGCAGGGAAGGCTTAAGTATACTTGGCCCCCTCCCTACGCGAGACCGGAAGTCATCCGGCCAATGTTGGCGCCGAGATCCACGCGAGATCGACTTTTCTCACCTTCACCTTTACCAATCGTTCAAGATCGACCCTCGCAAACGCAATTTTTAAATTACCAGCCGCGATCTTTATACTTTCGACTCGAAAGACGCGAAAAATTCGAAACCGAAGCAATAACAATTCCATTCGGACACCAATAACGATCGACCGTGTCGCATTTCCCGGTTCGAGAACGGAAAACACCGAGTGGGAAAAATTATTTTCTGCGGGACTTTGGAAACGACTCAGGAATACCTGTAGGGTTCTTTAATTAACCGTTTGAGTGCCACGGGTCATTATTGTTTCCCAATCGATATTTGCCAAGCGGCGCGATAGCGCTTCTCATATTCCGCGTTCACCAACCGAGCGCGCTGATTGTCAGCTTCGCAGCTCAGAGCGCTGGCACTTTTGGACACAAAATAGAAGAAGCGCGATCGCGCCGCTTGGCACTCAAACGGTTAAAATACCGCGGAATTTTCCAGCGTCTTCGTGAGACGGGACCCAGAAAGCTACGTATATATATGTAGGAATGTTAAGATTTGACAGTGAATGCAAGGGAACACTTGGACTTATTTTACTGATGATGGATAATGGCCTCGAGTTCGGATCGAATGTTCAGGGTGATATCTAAAGTACATGTAAAAAGACAAGTAATCGCATGGAAGGATTACACAGACGGGATGTTTATGAGTGATCCAGGAAGAAAGCCTACGTGTGAAAGAGGAGACACTGCTAGGTCTAACCACTTGCGGTGGAAAGACGTGCCACGCACGTCGAGATGCTTCTGTTACCGAAACACCGGCGACGTGTTACACACGTTGTGAGGCGATTGTTGCAGAAAGAAAAATGACGTGCCTGGCACGTCAACTGTTAATGAAATTCTTTACCGAGGCACAGTTTCTGCTTGCACTTCATCGTGTAAAGTTATCAGTATTGACCCCAGACTGTAAAATGTAAAGTGACAGTGAAGCTAGCGATATTATTTGCGTCTCGAAGTGATTTGCACTCGACTCAAGAACTTCACTCAACCGTGAATTTCTTTGCACCGCAAGTGGTTAACACGTTAAACAACACGGCTCCCTAGGGATCGGCGTTAGACTTTTCGTTCAGGCCTCGCCGGTCCATACGGCCCACAAGGACCCACAAGGGCTAACTGTGGCGTGAACGAAACGGCACGTAAATCTGGCGTGGCGTTTAACGTGTTAACTCTTTGCACTCGAGAGACACACCTTTCAATCGCCATTCGATAAAATTTCGAAGATTAATCAGTATGTCAAATTTAAGATAGTATAACGATCTACGTGGTATCGAAATCAAATAACTCTACGTGCTAATTATTATACGATTTCTTATTTATAGCAGAAAATCTTTAAACTCCCACTCTTCTTTAGCCAAACAATTTTCGAGTGCAAAGGGTTAACACTAGATTTACAGACGCTATCTGCATATCTATTTCTAAGAACACCTGTCAAATTGACCGGTAAAGGAAAACACGTGACTTTCCTTTAACGATTAGTTTAATTTAAAAACAATTATATGTGATATCGCAGGATGAGTGGGTCGAGCGTGTTATCTAGAGTGCGTGCGAAAGGACGAATGACCGTGCGCTAGGATCGTGTGGACGGGATGTTTATGAATGTATCGGATGAAAGTGAAGAGTGTCTTTAGGAATGCGTTTGAGTGTTTGGGCTACGTGACCCGCTGAGGGTAAGATTGCAAGGAGTGCGTGGGAAAGTGTGATTGGGAAAGAGAGAATAGGTATGAAAGAGGATAGAATGTATGGTTTTAAATAGGGATACAAGGGCGTGAGTAGGCAGTATGTAGTATGTCGTAGTACGGTGTGGTATGTTAGAATTCGTAGTAGAATTATTAGAGAGAAAGTTGTGAAGAATTGTGTTGTTAGTTATAATCGTGTTATTAGTTGTAGTCGTAAGAGTTTAGTTGATAGATATCTATATTCGTAGTCTTCACCGTCACCGCACATTGTATATTATATTTTATGTCTAATAAACAGTTATATATTATTTAACAACCACCCTATCTCTACATATATATTATATTAATTAATCTTAACTAAATCTGTTACCATCGTATAATTGGAGCAACCCTTCCGTCAAATTGACGGGTTCCGTAAATCTAGTGTTAAATAAGAGTGCAAGGGCTGTCTCGAGACAGTCCTTTATTAAGCTTTTAGCAAGAATTGACATGAAAATATCGGTCGGTTGTATAATCATAGTTATCAGTCTAGTCTAGTCTTTCAGTCTATACTTTACACCTAATCCCATTTACCTCGTAATAAATATCCATTTCAGAATAAAATAACATCTCTTATTCTCTATATTTGCCAATGAAACAGTATCCCTAGATATCCGAAATACCAACGGGTCGTTCGTAAGGAAGCAATGGCTTCTCCAGAGCTCGAACGAAACACGGTGACAAACGAAGCAACGACTCCGGGGAAAATGGCCCCGCTAAATTGTCCACGGATCTTTACGTCCTCTGGCGAGCGTAACGACGTTAACCCGCGATGATAATTCTTTTTCCCGAAAAACACACCTGCTGTCTAGGACGTTTGTACGAGTAGCGAGGAGCCAGCTAAGATATCCCGGCTCTCCGTGGCGAAAATTCGCCGGGAAGATTCAACCGTACCATCCCCCTGCTGGCAGATCGATCGCCATTATTTTACATGGTAATAAACGAGCCGGGAGGCGCTTCGCGCGGGGTCATAAATCTGCCCGGTACACTATGTAAATCGAGGAGTTGGCGGATCAACGAGGACACCCGAGATCGTCGTCGGTGCGTGAAAGGAAAAGCGAAGTTTCCGGTTGCCGTCGCGACGGCCGGGAAGTGTCGGGCCTCGACCAAGTCTGGATCTTCCCGTAGGGGCTCCATTAGCGGCGTAATTGCTGTTCGAAACTCCTGCGACGAATCTACGATCGGTATTTTATACGGGAACACGGCTGCCTTCCCGGTAACAGTGCCGTGCACGCGCGAATTTACCCCCCGGTGCACCAGACGCGTTCGCCGAGCTCGATCGAGGGGGTTGGGCGCCAAACTTTTCCCCTCGATCGTAATTGTATCTCGGAGGATGACGATTACGGAGGTCCGGGTTAAACTAGGCAGCATAAGGGGAAGATTGGCTGCTGCGAGATGCGGTGGAAAAATGGATAAAAATAGCGGCCGATTCGAAACACGCCTGTTACGAGGTTACAACGCAGAGACTCCCAACGCTAAACTGTCACCGTGACAAATCCCTCCGCGGAGGGATGAAAAAAGGTACGGGGTGTCCGATTTTGATAGATAGCCTCTCTCGCGCATATCGAACGATCGTGCCGAGATCCGTGACTAAAGCACGGTCACTCGTGGCTGAACACCGTAGACAAATTCGTCGATCTTACCCGGAAGCTCGGAACCTCGAGGAGGGTTGTATCGACTGGCGTCTGCCGATTTTTATGCGACTTCTTCTATTTCTCGCGTGGTCGTTTCTTGCTTCCGTTTCTCACTTGGGGTGATTTATCAAGATATATGTTCCCGAGGAATATTAATCACGTTCCGTTTACGATCCATCTTTCAAGATGAACGATTATTTCCCGGTGCACCGAGAGTCTCCTTGAATTATTGCTCGCGCGGTGGGTAGCACCGCGAAACTATCCGTGCGAGAAAAATTTCTACGCGCCTTCTCGGTGTCGGTAGTTTCCGTCATCTGTCGCCACTCGAACCGATCAATCTCCCAACTTTCTCACCCCTCCCGCCCCACGCCCCTCGGTCGAGAATAAATGCAAATTCTGCGGAAACTCGCGGAAGAACGATAACGATCGGACCAGGGGGGTGGCGCAGTTCGAGTTCTCCGCGAATTATTCCAGTCGATGTGCCGCTCGTTAAAAGAAAAACGGTTTGATAATCCAGCGCGAAGGTCGTGGCTGAGCGTTATCGAGCAGAAGCGACACCGTCGATCCGCGAGATCGCGCTGATTATTGGCCGGCGATCGATCACGAATGATCGAGCGTCCGGACAACGAAACGCGGACAACGAGCGGTCGATCTTAAAGAAGAGAAAAAAGACCTGCAATTTTTCATCCCATCGATCACGAACATTATAACCATCGATCAGTTACGAATAAGCCGGCCATATATCCCACTCCATCTGCCGACCGATTCCACGGGAAGCAAGTTCTTCGGAAAGTTCTAGTCGGCGAGTTGTCGATAGAGCAACTCGCTCGTGTAAATTAATTTTTCGCGCGGTCGGCTTCCGAGTTACGGCCGCTCGAGTACCCCGATTTCTCAGTCCCCCCGCGAGGAGGGTGAGATTTGAGAATAGGCGGGATTCGCAAGTTCGTTGGAAATTTCGCGGCTGGGTATATTAAATTCGTGAAAATGGTATACTTACACTTCAAGAATATTTTTTCCTGACGGTGAGAGTTTGTTTTTCGGGGTTCCATTTCCATACCCTGCGCCTTCTCGCGCGGGTTTGCTGTCCACTGATAAATTCGCCGTGTCATCGCGCATTCTTAATTAACAACTCTGCAATCAGAACGGGAGATAATGGATTTAAAAGCCATAAATAAACGCTTCGATCTTAATCTCGTTTCATTCTATCCGTAACATTTATCGATATTCCATCGAGATTCGATCGAGATTCGATCATCCTCGAGTGTCCGATTATCCGATCCTCGTAAGGAAAAAAGGGAAAAAATCCGAGAAACTCGGAAAACTCGGAAAATTCGGAACAGAGGGTGTTCGAGTAACCGTGGAACGCGTCTTGGGCCTAACACGATGAATCGGGGGGTGATGGACGCGTCGACGTCGTGGCGTCGGAGCGTGGGCCAAATTCGCGTGGGTTTCTCTCAGCCCTGCACGCGCGAAATTCGCGTTGTTCCCGTGTATTGGTTGGAAAGTGGCGTTTGGAAACGTCACGCGCAAGCATCGAGCCACGTCGAGCCCTTGAGCTTTCAATAAACGCGGAACAATCGACATGGCGGCGCCTGCGTTGGAAAAACGCAGGCCGCGGCGGGCAGCAGCCTTGCAGGATCGCGATAAATTAAGCCGGCCTGACGTTTTGATTGTCGGCCCGGCCTATATTTGTTGCGGTCAATATTTGCACCGGTCGATCCATTGTCGCCGCTCGATCCGTTACAAGCGTCTGTTTCGTCGGCCCCGGTGCGAGAGGGGGTCAGCTTTGCGCAAACTGCAATTAGCAACGATAATCCAGGGACAACAAACTCTATTTACCCCGGTCATTATCCACTGTATCACGCGTTTACCATACAGGATATCCAATCTAAGCGACGACTAGAAACTGCGCTAATCCGTGTTAATTAATCGATTGACCGATGGGACCTATGATTACGACCGGGGGTGGGCCTAGTCGCGTTTCGATTACGCCTTAACGACGATGATGAAAACATTCGGTCGATAATCCATCGCGGCTATGATCGAAATCGGGTTGAAAATGACAGCGATTACGCGCGCGTATCATCGTAATATCGATGTCAATGGCATCGGTGTGTACAATTACAGGTATTTATAGTAAAACCAGTGGCTCGTTGCCGCGTAGATTTGCCGGTTTTATTGGCCTAAATGGTATTTTTAAAGAGTAAACAGACGGTTAAGAGAGCCGAGAGGGAAGTTCCGGTGGATGGCCGCGAAATGGCCGAGACCTTTCTAAATCTGCGAGTGCTCAACAGGCCATGGCGCGAACTAAAACGATAATTCATCCCTCGAAGTGGCTATCATTTCCTGCTCGCGGTATATACTACGCGTCGCTGCCCCGTAAAGTCGACTACGAAAGAGACGAGAGTTTTCCTTTCGTATCAGCTGCAGTTTCTGCGAAACTTCTCGCGGCCATTTCTCTCTCTATTAAAATACTTAAATGTAAGATGTACGAGAGCATTATAGTCCGAGACTCTTTAAGCTACGGACAAAGAAAATGTTGAAACACGTAGTTTCTTAGAAGACAAAAGAAACGCGTTGAATGTAAAGAAATTCTCCTTCCTTTCTCCTCTTTTTCCCTCCTTTCTTTCCTTTCTCCGCTCTCGGCACATGGAATACTTTTAGATCAGGACGAACGAGAACGAGGGACGAAAATATGCAACCGGTCAACAACCGAGCGCCATTTCTTCAACGACGGATCGAACAGGCACTGTGGAATACCGACGATTCTCGCGGAAAAATGCTCCAGGAGCGTGAAACTTGGGTGGCGAATGAATACACCTGGCAAATGAAACCGCGGGACAAGCGACAAAGCGTTAATGTTTGGCAACTGCAATTTGCAACTCGCGTTGCTCGGACTTTCTTGCGTTTAATTGCTGTTCTAATCGCGAAATGAACAGCGGGATAAAAACTACCAGGTCGTTGGATAGCGTCGCGAACCGAGTTAGAGGCCTTTAATCGAGAAACGGAGCTGCTTTCTCGCAGACTTTTTCCATCGAAAACGTACGAAGCGTCCTTTTAACGCTGGAAAAGGCGACGCTTCTAATTGTCGAAAGAAGCACCTTAATGCCGCCATTGTTCGCACCTCGGAACGAATTAAATCGGGATAATTCGATCAATAACGGTACGTTAATTTACACGGGATTGCACAGTACACTGGTCGTAACGCGATTAACTCGAGGCATGCACGATCTTTCAAGACATCCTCCGACCCCCAGTGTCCTTCCTCTTTTTCCGTACACCCGCGATGGCCAGGGTGTCTCGGGCACCTTGTAATAAGAAGGATCGAAAGCACTCTGAACGAGACTCCGTGGAGTAAACGAGAGGGAGCCAGTGGGAGAAAAAAGGGGAAGAAAAAGGAAACCATCCTTTTTATTTCCACCGTCCGTATCTTTTATTACTTTTGCCCTTTGATCAGGCGTTCCTTTGTTATGGCGGCCCGTCTCTCAGCGACGAATACAGGCGACTTTGCCTACGCCTTCGGTAACTAGAAGTAACGACTCGACGCCTCGGTACCAACGTCTTGGCCCCGTGTTTCGTCTCTTTCCTTCATCCTCCATAGCCGACTTAAAGCGAACGTCCTCTCGCTTTTCGACCACTTCCAGCGACAATCTCGCTAAATCGCGACGAACAGAATCGCAGTAGGACGATATCTTGCAAGTCCACCGAATATCCTCTCGAAACTCCGAGCAATACTCCGACGGGCACAAAGAGAACGACACGAAGCTACGAGACTCGAAGGTGGAAGTGGAGCTTTTATTAACGAGCCTCCAGCAAGACGGAAGCTGCCAGGACCGAACTCGGGGGGTAATAAAGGTCCGCGGGATCGACGACATCCAGGTCAATTTCGAATTATCCTATTTCACCGGGACGAGAGCTCGCCGATTTCATTTGTCTCCGATAACCCCGCTCCCCTCCGCGTCACTGTACACGCGATACAATTTTTCCTCCGCTGCCAACGGACAGTTTATAAAATTCCCCGTTCGTTACGGGATCGATGCAACGATAAATTGTCTCGGAAGTTGCAGGCCAGAACCCTCTCTCGTGCTTGGAACACCTTATCCCGGTGCTCTGCTCTTTTTCGCGGCTCGTAAATCATCGATGAGATCGTGGGACCGGAAGTCGAGCGGAAGGCCCTGCCAACGAGATACGGAGACGCATTTGCACCGTTTTGTCATCCCGTCCAGAGTCTCGCGCGCCTCGAGTGTCATCAACGCGATCGAGAGATCGATGGAGCAGCTCTCTCGTTTCCATCTGGACACATCTGCCTCGTTTCGCGAATAATCGCACGTCGTGATCGCGATTAAAAGGAACGCCGAAATTCCACCGTGTTCGCGTACGTTCGCAAAGTTCCACGGTGCCCTTGATTCCCCCCGGGGAGAGGCAATTTTTCTACGAATGCAGCGACCAATCTTTTCGAAATCCCGGTAACACGGCGAGGAAATTTCGGCACGGAAAACAATCCGCGCCAAGTTTTGTCGCGCTAATGTATTCGCCAGTCCGGGCATCTTTGGTCGCCTCTCTGCTGCTCGCCCTGCACGCGGCGGCCTGGCAAACTTCGTCAGGACCGTGTTCCGGGGTTGAAAAATCGCGGCTAATGGGAAAAATTGCTAAAGTTACACGGCAAGTTCGCGACGACTTTCGTCGTCCGTCGCGGCACCCTTCGCAATCGCGAAACTCCATTAAGCTCGCAAACTAATTCTCCAGACCAAGCTCTCGCGGCCAGTGTAATCCCTCCGTGGTCGCCGGTGACTCGAATAATTTTTCCGGAAACAGACCTTCGCGGGGTTCCAGCGATATTTGTCCGTGCAGTTTGTTCGCAGAGTATGGATCCGGCAGATGAGAGAAGGACAGAGTTCCGTTTGAACGCGAGTGAATGACTAACCTTGAGTAACCTTTACTCGAGAGGAATTCCTATCCAGAGATAGAATATCTATACGCGGAGAGATACAGGCGGGTATAGCGTAGGTCGTGTCGCTCTTCACTGCGTCTGACCATACCCGGTCCGTTTCCCTTTATGCGCTCTACCTTACCCCCACTCCCGAATTTACTTGCATCTATACAAATCCATTTTCTCGACGTTTCCCTTCGGGAACGTTCGAATCGCGTAATGCTACGATACTGCATTATACATTCGCTCTAAATTCGAGTACCCACTGAAATATATTCCTTGTTTACCATGTATTTAAAACTCGGTTCTCTTTATCAATTTTTGTTTCACGGGTAAATAAACGAAACGTAAAGCGAGATTAGAAACGATAATTCCGGAGATGCTCAGAGATAAAATTAATAAAGTACGATTACTGTACCGAGTAAAATTCGAATTTACGCGATGGCGTCGCGATTATGAAAATCTGCGAAGCAGAGATTGCCACTAGCGTGATTTACGGGGAACACTGAAAACATTGGACTGTAATTATCGATGAGAAGGTGGAAATGCATCGGTCACCGCAAAAATGCATGCACTCGGAGAAGATAGAGGACGCAAAGAGGGGTTGCAAGTTCTTTGAATGGCGCAGAAGACAGTCTATTCCGAAATCGCAGTTACGAGTGTTGCAAGTGCTAAATAGTGAATGACTCGAAAGGTCAAGGTTCAATCTTTCAGACGCTATTGCCAATCCCGCTCTTTTCTTGGGACTTAGCAAACTTATTTATACTTCAACGCGGATATAAGAAATTTACTTATAAACTTTTCAACTTCCTCGGAGTCTTTTATAAACCCCCTTTTAACCGTGTTTTAATCCGTCCCGCACATTTATAATAGCTACTAATGTACATAGTTGAAAGCAGGATTACGTGTCATTAGCTCTCCATTTGCGAAGATTTATTCTTAAAACCTGATTCACCGAGTGATTTTTGAGTTTCCAGCTCAGTCATACTTAAATTTGATCACCTTTGTATAAATTCTATATTTTGAAACTTGAAACGGCGAACAATGGCGTAGGTGGAGTAAAAATTTCCAAGAACAGAAGCACTTCATCGAGAAAGCGAATCGATCAGTCGATATCGATAGCAGGATCGCTGAGACGCGACAGTCGCAGAGATAACCACGCGACGAAGCAGCCGGAAGTGCCGGCAAGCGGCAACGAACC